AAAATGCTTTTTGCATCTATTGATATGATTATGTGTTTTTTTAAAAACCCTCACCTGACCCCTTGTTTGGATGTCCCCAGTGAAGATGACACACTGCTTTGACTCACTGCGAAGGAGTTAGAAGGGTGAAATACTCTGGTACAGATAAGTAACTTAGCAACTCGAAAAAGAGGAAATCTAAGTTGATTTCCCCTGTTCCTGAAATTTATCTATAAGCACCCAATTCTTTATTCCAAACATTTGAATAAACTTTTCTGAAATATAGTGTGTTTTTTTCTCTAAAATATAAGACGAAGAACATAACTTAAACTTTTCTTCATGATGTCCAAAATCTATAATAATAAAAGCTCAATATGCTAATTAGATCGGATGTCCTTCCGGATGAAGCTGGGGCTGGGAGGGAAGCCCGGGTCCCAGGTGCCAGAGGGAAGCCGGTGCCGGCAGCCAGAGGAAGGAAGGCCTACTCTTGCATGAATTTCATGCATCAGGCCTCTAGTAGACAATAATTACTGTGCTGCTCTGAGTAATACAGGGTTACCTTCAGAAGGTAATGAAGTGTGGAGGGTTGTTTGTCTCCTCTGATTTGAGGGTTCTTGCATTAGCTAGGCATTTTTTGTTTCTTTTTAAGAGGATCTTCTTGCTACTAACAATAAATCTGCCTGTGGCATTCTGCTCTCACTTTCGAGTTGATGCTTCTAACATAGTGTGATCTGGGAGCAGATTGCCACATATGTGAGGATTGCAGAGGTCAACAATGGCAAGAAAAAGTCCATACAGTCACTCCATTGCTTTAGAGCTTAGCTGTCGGCTGTGGGGAACCTGGTGAGCTCACTCAGAGGTGGGAGTAAGGGATTGAGAAGGCCATAGTCACAAGAGTCATGGAGCTGACTCGGAGTGCCCAGGGCTGTGGGAACTGCCTGGCTTCAGTGGCACCGAGGCTCTGCCTGTTCTTTAATGGAAAAATAAAAACATTCGTCTGCCTTCTCCATCTGCCCTCTCTTGTGAGCACCCAACTTAATTTCTCAAAGGACTTGATACAGTTTTATTTTTCCCAAGAAAATTCTCTTTGGATTATGTCCAGGAATTATTCTTCTTCTCTCTGTGGAAAGATTTTGTTTCTTGTAGCTTTTTTCACTATGAACATTTTCAAGGACAATATGAGAGAGGACAGGATAACGAACCCCCATATGCCTATCATTTAGCTTACATTAGTTATCAACTTTGCTATTTTTATTTCAGTTCTCCCCTCATGGAGTATTTTAAAACAATGATTATATTTATTTCAGGGACACATTTTTTTTTTTACAATAAAATTACAATAAGGATATCATACCTTCCATTTATCATCAGCCATGAGCCATAGCACTAGCATGGGAATTTATAAGTATTATTTTTAGTCCTCCCAATAACCCTGTAAGGTAAATTATTCCCATTTTAAAAATAAAGAAATTGAGGTTCTGCCTTAATTTGTATACAAAAGAAAACAGGCTAAGTGGTGGTACTTTAGTTAGAACACAGTCTAGGCTATGGTAACAGAAAAGCCCAAAATGCAATAACCTGAATAAAGTGGTTTTCTCTCTCATATAAAAGTTCAGCTAGGTCCAGGCTATTTCTAGGACTAGCATGGCAGCTTGATGGCAATAGAAACCCAGCCCGCATCTCTCGTGGTGTTCAGCTATTCTTCTCACCACAGCTCAAGAGGGCTGCTCCGGTTTCCATCAGCAGGTAGAATGGAAAAGGGAATAGTGGAGGGCGTGCCCATTCCCCTGAAGGGCCACATCCTGAAGTTGCACAGGTAACTTCTCACCAACCATTGCCCAGAACTTAATCACATGGTTACACCTGTAAGGGACACTAGGAAATGTAGTCTTTATTTTGGGCAGCCCATGACCAACTAAAAATCAGGTATTCTAAGGGGAAAAAAGGGGACAATCAGGAATGCTTTCATGGATGGACGAAAGGGTTCTTTTGGAGTCAAGGGCATGGTTTTGAGTTCTTCAGTTCTTTTGGCTTCAACTGTGTCCATTTAGTAAACCTAGAGGCACCTGATCAAATTACAGATAGATGTTGTTTGGTGATGAAGGACTTTGGTTATTTAGCCCTGTGCCTATGAGGTTGTTTTTTGTTGTTATTGTTGTTCCTTTTTTTGGTTTAGAACACTTATAACCATACTATTCTTTTAAAATGAAATTTTATTTTAATAGTACATTTACATTATGTGATTTAATCCCATTGTCCAGAATGGAAAGGCCCCAATTGTATACCATAACAGCTCTGCCAATGATGGTTTGGGATTCAGCTCTCCTCTTTAACACTTGGGTGACTGTAGACAAATTGCCTTCTTCAAGCCTCCTTTTATTTTCTGCAAAACAGGAAAACTATCAACCTCAGTTGTTATGAAGATTAACTAGATGGTGGATGAAAGTTCAAGGTATACAGCGAACACCCGACAAATTGTATCTATGTAACAGATATATGTGTAGTTTCTCCACATAGATAATCCTATCCTATTTAATTCCCGTCATTTCTTTCAACCTCCAACTCCCTCCACCCCTCCCATCCCCACCCCTTTCAGCCAAGCTTTTCGAAAGTTATTGGCACACGCTGCCTCCATGTCTTCACTTCCAATTTACTCATCAACTCACCCCATTTGACTTTTGCTTCTTCACTAGATTTGCTTCTGGCAAGAGCCTGACCTTAAGGTCTCTACTCCCTCTTATTTTTTAAATCCTCACCCGAGAACATGAAAGAGAGAGAGAGAGAGAGAGAGAGAGAGAGAGAGAGAGAGAGAGAGAGAGGCTTCTATCAATCTGCAACTCAGATATGTGTCCTGACCAGGAATTGAACCGGCAACTTTCAGTGTGTAGAACGACACTCAACCGACTGAGCCACTCCAGCCAGGTTGACAGGTTGTTCTTAAAGGCAGGTAACAAGCAGACATATGTGATACTATTACTTTAGCTTCTATACGGACAAAACATAAGGAGACCTGAAGGCGGAATTGGCTATCCCCGGGAGTTTCTCAAGGCGACTTTCACAGATAAAACCTGTGATTGTGTGATTCTAGGAGCCAGGTTTTGGAGCTTAAAAAAGGTCGCTGAAGATTTCCACAACCTCTGACAGTTTTGAATACCTGAAAACTTTTCTTTCTGGAATCAGGGCCCAATGAGGTTGTAGTTCATAGATTTGGCCACACGGGGGCAGCACATACACACACCCCTTTTCTCAAACCCGGCTGGGTTCCTTGTGCATTCAGTTCCTACTGTCACCACCCTAGCACAGACCCTGAGCAATTCACGCAGGGTCTAACCTTCACACCTCTATACCTTCATCACCTCATTCCACGCACAAGAACACGGAGGGGCACCCATTTTCCGAAGCCATCTGCCAATTTCCTCCCAGTGTGGTCAGTTAGCCACCTGCCTCTCCCACACTTTCCCTGCTCACCCCAGTTTACTGTCTGACTTGCCTTGTCTCCCCAAGCCCTAGCCAAGATCTCCCTGGACACCCACTTGGCTGTAACTGTATTTTATTTATTATTTATTTTTTGTTTCTGTATTTTAAAAGCTACAGGCATTCCACTGATCATATTTTGAGAAACACTGACTTTCTGGCTTTGTGGCCATGGATGTGTTAACTAAGTCTCCATTTTTGCAGCAAATGGGGAGAATGAAATAAGTCATGTAAACTGGAAGTTTCTGTAGCCCAGTGGTTGGCAACCATATGCTCACAAATGCTGCATTTCCTGTTGTTGCCCGGGGGTGGCTGCTCTGCTGAGTTTGGGGATGGAGGTCAGGAAGTGTCATGGGGGTGGCTGTGTATGCCGGGCTGTCACCGCATGTCTGCCATCCTCAGAGCCGACCTGTGAAGAGCATCCTCCAGAAAGTGCGAGATCCCAATCCCTCACTGGACGCAGAATGAACAAGTCTGGGGTGGGGACCCTGGCGAGGGACTTTAAGGAAGTGGGGGGTGCTGGCACACACCAACTTTTGACCTTATGCTAAGTCCAGTTCACCTCTTTCTACTCAGGAGAAAGGCTGGCATCTTTGTAGTGATGGGGGGAGGGTTCTAAGTGCCCTGGAGGGACTGCCTTGGATCTCACTGCCCCGCTGGCCTGAGTAACGAGTGAGGCCCCTCTCTATTTGGGCAGTGAAATGGGACAACGCGGAGATGGGCAGGCAGGGCAGGACAAGCTGCTTAGCTTCCAGGACTCTTCTTGTGCCACCCCTTGGTCCTGCCCTCCCTGTCACAGCACTGGCACCTGCCAAAGCCCCTGGTGACCGTCACCAGACGTCTGGTGCCCTGAAAGGGCTGGGCACTTCAGGACGTG